GAAACAAACATAAATGCAAATTCTACAGCAAAATGTTCCTGCAACCCTACAAAGATTGAGATAGATACAGTCCCCAAATGTAATGTACAAGTTACATAACATTAAAGTGTGCTCACTGAAATAAACCAGAACTCTATTTAGTATATTTGTTTATAATAAACAATTAAAGAAAAACACACTATATTTCTTCCACTTCAGGTCACATGGTGATTTGTTTTTAATTCATGATTCATGAACAGGAACATGTTGTCACATATTGCTCTGACCTGTAAACTCCTACCGGTTCTCTGTATTTTTGATGATCAAGAAATGTAGATGTATCCACTGTTGTTATTCTGGGTAAAAGTGTCAGTTGAATGTCTAAAACATCAGTGCAATTCAGTAAAAATAAAACTATAAAAAATAGAACTATTTTGAAATATTCAAATGTACCTGCCTGTATCCCAGCAGGGCAGCTGCCACAGGCTGTGTCTGTCACCTGGTCCCTGTGAATGGGCCCACTTTGTTTCAGTCCCAGCTCCTTCTATCAGTAACAAGGTAGCTGCAGGATATGAACTGATTGCACTGTGTTCCTTAGTCACACTAAATTTCTCAAAAACACATTCTCATCCTTACTTGATTTAAAAACTTGTAACAAAAAACATGACTAGAGTGTTTTCTAATTGGCTTATATTTACTTATTCCTATTTACATATTTATTTTGTGGTGTGTTTGAAAGCCTGTCTTAGTAGACGGGGGAGGAAACTAACACTGAACACTTTAAACTGCCCATAGGTGTGAATCTTAGTGTGAACGTGTTGGGCTGTCTCTGTGTGATGGATCAGTCCTAGGTGTTCCCTGCCGTTCGCCAGTGCATGCCAGGAAAGACTTTATCCTCCATGACCTTGAATGGGAATAAACTAGTACAGAGAATAGTCAGAAGCATCAACATTTAACAGATTTTCATGCTAACTATATTTTAGGACCCAAATTTGATTGTAATGTGGAGTTTACTATAGTTTGATTTGTCCAATCAACTTGATTTCTTAAACTTTGTTTTACAATTATATGGTGTTTGCTTTTTGAAAAACATAACAATATACTGAAAAATATTAAGCAACTAGTGTGACAATGCCTTTAATGCTTCATTTTATTTCAGAGAGTAATATTCCAGTGTATACGGTAACCAGCTTTGACAATAATTGTTTCATTTTCTCTCTCTCGCTCTCTCTCTCTCTCTCTCTCTCTCTCTGTGTATCACAGTGGTGTTGGTTGAATTTTAAAAAGAAGATCCCTCTATTTGTCCCCTACAAAGATACTCAGCAACCAGTAGCTTTGTACTCAGCAGCTGTGAGGCGTATCAGTGAGGACTTCAATTTCATTACAGCAAACCAAGAACAGACGTATTGACTCATTAGATTCCTGTTTGAAAAAAGTTAGATGAAGCCACAGCAGGAACAGAGACACTGTGACTCATCCCATCAAGAACACACACACACACACACACACACACACACACACACACACACACACACACACACACACACACAGACATACACTGCTCCGACACATGCAGTCACACTCACCCGTGCACATACACACACCTCATGGTGATGAGCTTTCCGAGGCTGAACTGGTGTAGGAACTGAGCACAGATTGGATATGTGATACATGGTGTGGACTGTATGTGTGTGTGTGTGTGTGTGTGTGTGTGTGTGTGTGTGTGTGTGTGTGTTTGTATGTGTGTAGAGGTCTGTATGAAAGGAAAAGATCAGAATAGCTCACAGTGTTCCCTGCGTGAGGAACATATTAAACCCAAACCTGATAAAAAAAACTGCTAAGACTGCAATTTATTCCAAAGTTGTTTCTCTACATTGCTCGAGTAATGATTTTCCAAGTTCACTTGTTTACTTCTCTACGGTACTGTCTCCCTTAATTAACTGTGGTAATGTGCATTTTTGTTATTTATTAGTAATTTGTTTTTCTTGAGGGAAACTTTAGTCATTATAACAATTTACAAATGAAGGCAATCCTGATTTAAATGAGTGTTTTGCTCATGTTCAGACATCCACAGAATAACACCTGCCCTGTTGGCTCCTGTGAATTGACGTATACGGCACAACCATTAGGTAAATATCTCTCTCTAATGTTGGCATCATAGTGCATTTAAACTGCAAACTGAAACGGGACAACAAAATTACAGGTTGTTCGTACCAAAAATATGTATATATATGCACTGATAATGGCATGAGAGTCACATGACCAAATCAACCTGCATGTAAATAATAGACCTGGGTGATTGGAACCTACAATCAGGTGAATCAGAGTTTTTTTTTTTTCAAACAGTAGCTCTGATTATAGTGTTCAGTGCACTGTAAAAAGGTTAGTGTTATATAAATGTTGCAGATCCTTGCACTGAAATATTGCAGCATCGAAACAACCCGTATCAGGGGCGTTTATTCCTCTCTTCTTTTCTATCTATCTTGCATAAAACATTACAGACTTTACAAGGCTGGGACAGTTTTAGCTGTGGGTTTTACTTCCTTTACAAACTTCATTGACTTTTTTGTGGAAATCCAATCGATTGTTTTATTGTGCCATTGCTGAATTTCCATCAGTGTCAGTGTGGTATGTTACTGTCTGTAAACCTTTGTTGACTTTTAGATACATGTACACTGGCCAGAGACGTTCCCCCTCACAGTGAGCCACTGTTTTGCAATGCAGTGGGCTTTGTGTCATCTCAATAAAATATATTTAGTGTTTACAGGAGAAAACTACTGGTGCTGGATATACAGTATATGTCGAGCGTGTCTGAGACTTTACCATAACCAAAAGGTCACAACGACGTATGTATTCATGCCCGAGACGTCTGACTCCTACATGCTGAATCACACTAAGTCACCCTGGGTGAGAACCCTCTAAATGCCTTAAAATGTGAAAAATAATTATCGCAACCATGACAGTGAAGTCTATGGGTGGCATTTTTGGCATAGCTTTTTCTTTGTCCTCTGGCATTCCTACTGGGCACATTACCCTGAATCTAGATTTCCACCGTTAAACGTACAATACCCTGTTAGACAGAGGCATTCATTTGATTAAACTGACAGGAAGGAAGGAAGAAAGAGAGTAGGTGTGCACAAAGTGCTCTGCTGTCAGCCTTGTAACCTTCAGGAGAAATCAACCATTGGCTTTTAATAGGCATTTCACAGAAAATCAGTTACACTTCTTCTTTGCTTTATTTTAATGATCGTCTTCAAGACTTTTTGTTTTGCTAAACTTCGGTCACATCTAGTTTTACAAGCCGCCCTTTCTTCGTGTGTGTAAGCACTGGCTCAAAAGTCAAAAGATGATGTGTATGTGAGAACTGGGCAATGGATAAAAATGAACTTTTATAAACATCCAGTCTGCATTTAAACAGCATTTGTGCTTACAACTCTTCGGAATATAATCACTGAAATGTTGAGACAATATTCACTTTTCAAACACATTTCTCCTGGTTTTAACATAAACATTTAAATGTCTTTTGACCTGCAAATCACCAACTAAATGCTTACGTGCTTCAGTCATAACAAAGACATCTGGGGAAATTGCCTCCTGTGAAGTAGAGGATTTCTCATGGGTATGAGGGACCTGCGCATCTGTTAATTGTAACATTTTCTGAACTATTCAAAGCATCTCCACTCTGTGGTATTAATCTGCAGCACTGAGTAGCAAAAGAGCAATTTATTTACGTGAAGTTAGAGATAATTACTATAAGTGCCACAGGTCTCAGGAACTTGCTCAGTATGTACCAAACAATGATGAGAACTGTGTGATATGCTCGTTGGCCACAGCAGAACCACCTTTTGCTTCTCCTTCATGTGGGATCACCTCTCAGACTTCCTGCGAGAGGCTGACTCTTCAATGTGTGCTGGGTTTGCTCCGGGTTGTCCTCTTAGATATGCACACCCATAAATACCGTAGGTACTTACAGGAAAGTCCAAGAGCCGAAACCACATTAATTTAACCTTCTTAATACATAAATGCACAGCCATTCTGAGACTGGCTACATGTTTTATTCATAATTCCACATGTACAGAGCTGTTATCATTTTCTCAGCTGTAAGGATATTCTTCACTGTCCTCTAAGAAACACCAGGTAACTGCTCATTTTGCAGGGTGTCAGGTGTCATTTATTGAGTGTATTTTGAACATAACTCATCAGTTAGAGCAATGTCACCACTTATGAAAATAGGTCCTTTTACCGTAAGAGAAACATTAACCTATTATCTGTCAGAGCGCACCTTCCTGATTTATTCAGTCTTTTATCTCAGAGTTGGTGGCTGGTCTGACTCACCACTCTTGTTTCTGGCTCAGGCAGATATCAGTCACTGTACAGTCTGGACTGAGGGTCACTGGAAGAAGTTTTCAGCTCAGATTGATTGATTCATGCCGATTTATTTTCTTTGTGTCCTTCTGGACAACTGATTATGTGACCAGATTAAAGCCAATAACACTTTTTGCTATTGGACCCTCACTGTAAACTGGCAAACATCCACCAATATAAAAATATATATTATATTACACTAACTTATAGCCTTACTGATTTCAGGTAATCGTGAAATGTCACGCAAGGCATAAAAATGTTATTATAAATCAAAAAGATTCTTAATATGAAGTGGCACCATTTGAAAAAAGTACTTTAGTACTTTAGTTTCGTCAAGTTGTGCAGGAAATAGCGAGAATACCGGAAACTGAACGATTCAACTTTGGAAATGAAAGTGTGAAACCAAACTATCTGAAAATGAAAAGCAGAGAAATCAAATAAGAGTCTATAAAATGTGGCTTCGAGATCTAATATGAAGAGAAACAATACATTTTTACAGCAATACTAAACTGTTGTGTCTGTGTGCTCGGTAATGGAGGCATTATTTTGAAAGCTGTCACCGGAAAACAACATCTTGTTTTGGCTCTTCTGACACAGGTTCACTTTTTTAAACCTGGAGCTGAGGAAGCGGCAGAATAACAGTGGTGGAAGATTTTGAACCCCATAGAAATATTTCCAAACGGTGCGAGCAGCATCTCCGGCTGAGGATGACACAATAAACCTATTAAGGAAAACAAGAGTAAAAACAGCCAATCGCTGCTCTTCTATTCGATTGCGTATTGATTTGGGTTGGAGCGTCTTCTTTGGCCACCGGGCTGCTCTCATCAATCTTCCCGACGCTCGGCACCTGTGTATGTGTGTGTGTGTATGTGTGTGTGTGTGTGTGGGGGGGGGATCTTCAGTACATGGGATCATGGGAGTCAACGGATCTTTGCAGTGACAGATTTTCTTTGTCTCTAACTAGACTTCAGTGTCAGTGAATGTAACCAGATACGACGTGGGATGAGAGAAGACATTAAAAGACTGATGAGAGTTTGATGAAAAAGTGCAACTCGATTGGATGCGCGTCGCGTTGCTGGACTTCATATTCGAGGAAAGAAAAACCCTCCAACCAGCCGCTGTGACCTTTCATGATTTTTTACGATGGGAAGAAATGACTCCACTGCTTTCCCAAAATAAAGGAATAATTCTCCAATAACACCACCAGGGACCCGGATCGATCAACGAGGCTGATTGAGGGGGGGGTCCACCAAGAGTCTCTAAACTGGATCCTACTGCGGGTATCGATTAACGGATTTGACTGATCATCTTCAGACACCCTCAAAGGTAAGTTGGGGGAAATTAGACAATAAATGACCATCTGTGAGAAATGAATAGAGTGGAGCTTATTATTATTATTATTACAGCCTGTTTATGTGTTGGAGCTCTCCGCAGGCCCACACCTGTTGTTGGGCTCGGTCAGGACCTGCAGATGCCCACTGACAGTCTGAATATCTGCTGCAGTTGTCATTCTTTCATATGTCTCGGAGGACGGTGAATGCTGTGGAGACTGTGTGAGAAATGGGCTGTCAATATAATGATTGCAGTAAGAAAACCGACTGATCCGTGCTTCATAAAGTTTTTAAAAGAATTGACCGTTGACCTGCTGAAGATGAATCGTCTTGAGATGTTCAACACAACGTTGCGCTCATACACACATATAAGACTGTATCTTCATTTTAAACCAACGTTATGATTCCCCCTCTCAGTCATAAGGCAATATAAGGTCTGAGCAGAATTCCTTTTAATTAAAACGCCGACACTAACGCCTGTTGGTGAAGGTACCTGGCTGTTTGCTGTTGTATGAATGTAGTTTGTGTCACACTGATGACGAGCAGGAAGTGTGTGTGTGTGTGTGCGTGTGCGTGTTGGGGGTCGATGTGAGCTCTCACTGTGGACACCCCGCCGGGATGCCGGCCGCCCCCCACCCACCATCCTCATCCTCAAGTTGCGCAGCGTCCAATGCGCGCTCTGGCTCCACACGGTGGCGCACGCTGTTGCGCACGGCGCGCTCTCCCGGAGATGTGTCGCTCTCTGTGTGATGTACCTTCACAGCATCCCTGTGTTGACCTGCAGAGCGCACTGTAAGCATAATCCACCGGGATATAAAGGGTGTGTGTTCTTCCTGCAGACACACTCACAAACAGTCTTTCACTCTATCTGTCAATCTTGCATCCTACTTTCTGCCTGTCTTTTTTCTTCTTGTCAGCTCCTGTTGATATGTCATTCCTTATTTGTCTATCTGTCTACACTCTGTCTCCCCTTTTCTCTTTCTGTCTCAGAGTCTCTGCCTCGCTCTCTCTCTTCTTTACCTCTATCTCTCTCCCTCTCCCTAGCCTCTCCCTGTGTATTTTGTGAGCACAGCCGCAGGCTGAGGCAGGCAGGCAGGCAGGCAGGCAGGGCTGAGTCTGTCATTGGGACTCACTAATGAGCTCTCCACTCTGTCTCCCCATGTGGAGGAATGTTTGCACTGGAGAGTGAGTGAGAGAGCAAAGGGGGAGAGAGGGAGTCACAGAGAGGGAGGGTGGGAGTAAGTGAGGAGCCAAGGAGTGGAGCATGAGAGGAGCTGTCGTACCTGCTGCTCTCACTGCTCAAATATTAACAACGGGTTTCTGGGAACCGATGCCGCTGCTCTGGGACAAGCCCAAACTGTGGAGGCAGCCGGGCTCAGTGGTTTGTGGACAGGCAGTCTGCCGCTGCTGCTGGAGGCACCGCTGCATTTAAGAGCCTGATGGAGGAGGAGGTCACAGAGCCCGATCCTCAGACAGTGGAGCCCACCGGCATGCCGCCGCCGGGGACACACTCTGAGGTAAATGGAGACTTGCCGGGCAACCCATACCTGAGGGACGGGGCGGTGGACGTGATGGAGAGTCCGGCGAGGGAGCCTGTTGTGCTGCAGGATCCTGCTGAGTACAGTCAAAGCGACCAGTATGGGTAAGAATCAGCATGGGAGGGAGAGAGAGAGAGAGAGAGAGAGAGAGAAAGAGTCTGTTGCTGCAGGAAGCAGCTGGTAATATGTGCAGAGAGGTGGCACTTCTGTGGGACGCTCCCTTCTCTTTTCTCAGTTCAGAGAGCGTTTGACTCCTGTTTCGCAGTGATGGTTTGATGAATTGTCTTAGCACCCAGTTGACTGCATTTTCAAGCACCTTGTGTGCCACTGCTGCACAGTCCATAGCACTGGAAAGTCATTTAACCATAAATTGCTCTCACAGAAGGTTCAGGCATGTGTGATTGATCCATAGTAATATTATTTGCATTACAGGGGCAGATTGTGACACTCACATGTGTTTTGTTGTCTGTGTTGCATAACTTGGTGTCATTTTACACCCCAGGAACAGATATGGTTGGGTGGCGAAAAGCAGTTGGCAACTAATCTTGATCATGACTTGCTATGAGGAATTGCTCTGTTTTTACATTGATGATTTTAGCATCCCCTTTGTGTGTTTGCTGCAGCAGTGTACATTTTATTTATTTATTTTTTTTACAGAAGTAATAACGCTATGCTTCTTCTTTTACGACCTGCCCCTAATTGACCGGTATTGAAATATTAAAGCAGTCAACAATTGACTGATAATGAGCAGTACTGATGTTTATTTAGCTATTTATTTATTTATTTGTTGGTTGACAATGTAGATGTTAAATAATATTTAACTTAAATATTCTTTAATAAAGTAATTTGTTTAAGAAAGCAGCCTTCTGATTACATCTTTAATCTGTGAATTGGTATCAGTCCCAAAAATCCCATATTGGTCAGACTATAAAATTCAACAAAAATCATCACCATGGCAGTGTTTTAACAGTGCCTTCTTTTTCTGAACTGGACATATTTTATGACCACTTGGCTTTCTGTATGTCCTCTAGCATTGATGGAAAATGGTAAAACTTTTAAAACCCAACTAAAATCTGCTGCTGTATTTCACTTTATAGCTGGAAAGTTTTAAAGTATTCTGCTAATGTGGCCATACGTCAGTCTGTGATTTTTTTGTTTTTCTGTCACATCTCTGATAAAAAAAGAGATTTGAACTGGCAGAGAGCGGTGCAGAAGGTCTTAACTGCCCAGTGTGATTCAGTATTTACCCTTAAAGCAAAGCTTGCCTTTCTTTTGGTATTATAGTTCAGCAGTTTTTCCTTGAGATGGGAACGAATGCCAATTCAAAGTGGCGTCTTTTTTGTGCCTTGAAAAGGGAATTGCATCTTGCTAATAAATTGGTGTATTTGAACTAGGACTGGTGCCTATTCTCTACATACTCATAAAGATGTCACTGTGTCATGGTCCTATTTACACAGTTGATTTTGTAGCTGGAGTGTCTGCTGCCGGTACACAATGTTCTGCTCGTGTCCCCTTCAGTATCGGCCCATTGCTATTGGCTGTTGTGCTGCAGGGTCTGATGTGAGGAATTGCCATCTGGTCTCCTTGTCATGCAGAAAGCTCTTTTCATCAGGTTGCCCTCTCTCCAAGAGTCGAGGCTGAGAACTGGTTTGGTACTCTGATGTGGTCGTGGTTGATTAGTCATGTCTTATAGAAAGAGAGAGAGGTTTGGCACTCGCAGGACTGATTGACGTAAAATTTCAATACAGGGGAGAAGATCAATGTGTATAAACTGTTTACTGTCAGCTTACACAGTATTGGATGAAAACCATCTAATGATTATTGTTTAAATTAAATCCTCTTTTAAGAATTAGTTCAAACCGCCAATTTTCTTAATCACTTAGAAAATATCAATAGTAAGTCTCTGTGAGACTGTGGTATTCCGTTTCTGGACATTTTACAGGAAACAAGCAATTGATTGTTTAAGTCATTTATCAAGCAAACAGCAAACAGTATTCTGTATTGTATCATAGTAAATTGAATTGTAAGTAGTTTTGGGCTTTTGGACAAACAAGTGATTGAAGACATTTCGAATTTTCAAGCTTTTGATGTGAATTTTTCTAAATAAATTTATTTCAGGAAAAAAAAAAAAAAACACCTCCATGTTGTATGTCAAGGTATGACACTAATCTATGATGTCTAGTTGCCGGGCACGAGAGTCCATCATACCCTCCCATTCCCACCGGTTCCTTGAGGACATGCAGCATCTTAATGGCAGCGGCGTAATTGCGGCTTAGTGCTTATTTCTTCAGGGTCAAAGTATTTTGATTAGTCATGTCATCTTTGTCTTATCCTTGAAGTGTCAGTACAAATAGTCCTTTCCCTGTAAGGCATGCACACAACTTTAGTGGAGTTGGTTTTATTTATGTCCTGGCTGTAATTGGGTTCAGTTTTGCTGTGACCCAGTCTTAACAACACTGGAAAGGCTTAAAAGGCTATAATGATGCAATAATAGTTTGTCTACTGTCAGGCTACCATGAAATTGTTTTATTGTGGGTGGCTGAAAATACACTTTAGAAAAGAACCTACTATAGACCATATATACTGTTATTAATTTTCTCAAGTTCTAACATGTTTGTTCTGTAAAATAAACAGTAAACTGAGTTTCTGACTTTACATCATCATCAGAGTCATCATAATTCAGACATCGTCATTAAATCCAGGAACCTATGCAGCCATCCCACATGCGTCATTTTCGGGACTTTAATCTCTGAAATCCATCAAATAAAAATAAAGATGAGTGCTGTCTTCTGAACTTGGTGCAGTTTTATTAGGAGTGTTCAAAGCGTTGAAATATGATGAGATTTGTATCACATAATTAGATCATCTGGTGACAGTATGTATGTTTGATTGACAGTATGTGGAACCTTTTCTTCTTTTAACTCTTTGACCTTTTAATCTTGTTCACACCTGTTAGCTGTACTCAGGTGGATGTTGTTACGTAACAGTAACATTTGGGGAAAATGCAGGAAAATTGAAATGTAAAAAGAAATGAACTACTACTGTAGGTATTGCTGAAAATGAATGACAGAATTCTGACCTTTTATCTGCGGACACCTTTTTCTCTCAGCCGTTGTCACTTCTAGTTACTCAGCTCTAAGAAATGAATAGACTGGTGACGGGCTGATGCTAGTGTGGAATCATATTCAGGCTTAAATTGGGAGCAAAGGAAACAACGGTGCGTCGGGTTGATTAAATTCCACAGGTCCAATCACAGCTAGTGCAACCATCAACAACCCTGTGTCCGGTCAATTCAACATGTCCTTGAGCCAGACCCTGAATCCTGATTTACTCACTCACTTGAAAGTTACTTTGGGTAACAGCATTAGCTAATGGCCTCAACGTGACGAGAAACTATCCCATAAAACCTGGGCAGGTTTATTCAGCTTTCAGTGTCACGTTCATGTGTGATTTTACAGATTCTTGCGTTGTTCTTGTCAGCCAAGATGCAGCAGCACCGCTAAAACAATTTGCCCTGTTTCAGCCTTCAAACTGTGACACAAGATAGCTTCTTTACAGTCCATTTAAAGGTAATGAGTAAAGCTGAAACACTTAGTTGATTAATTGATCAGTGGCAAGGCTCTCTGAGTGAAGGATTCGCTGCTTTTCTCAGTTTTACATCATTGTAAAATACGTTCTGGACAAAACGAGCACTTTGAAAACATCAGTTTGGCATCCAGGAAACTGTGATGAGCATTTCTTCACATTTTAATGATATTTTATAGAATAAACCATTAATGGATAAATGTGAAACAGCCCTGTTGTAAGGGGGGGTGATATGTGTTTTTCCTCAGAAAATTGGAAATGCAGAATTCAGCCAGCTCAGTAAAATACTGAGGTACCGTCCAGGGATTTTATCTCAAAGTTATTTCTATGGCTCATTTTTTATCAGCCAGTCAATCTGACTATTAGATCCCAGAATCCTTGCCTGTTTTTCTATTGAACTGATATATTATTGTACGCAGGGAATAGCGATTTGATGAGGGGGAAAAAATAGGGAAAAAATTGATGTGGTCTTGGTTGAAGCTGTGGTGATTACTTGCTGATTTAAGTGATTACTGTATGTTGCTCTGCTCCTGAAGGGCGAATTAGCTTGTACAGCTGAGACCTTGATCAATTTAATCAAGTGTAATGATGCTAAAGGCTGTGAACAGCTCCGTTCAACACTGTCTTCCTAAGGGGTCGGAGATCAGTTGTTTTACTATTTCAGCACATTATCTCACAGCTCATCTATTGCATTAATAAACATTATGTCCTTGTGAGATATGGTAAAATATTGCAGTAAATTCATATCTCTTCTCTGTGCTCTCAGACACATCTACATCTGTGTTTGTTTGTCAGTGATGTCAGGTTTTGTACTCCTTGGTGGACTTGCTGTTTTCGAGTTATTTGGAAAGAACATAATCTGTCAGTTCCCGTAATTGGTGTTGTTCAGTGATACAGAAGGTGTTTTTGTGTCATGGACTTTAAGAAGTCAGCTCATCTTTGCAAGGCCAGGCGTGGCTGTCAAAGCTCCAAAGCAGCAAATCATTATACAGTATAGATTGATCTGGCGGAAAAGACTCTGCTCTTCTGAGGGAGCCCTCAAAGAGTTCTGTTGGTAGATAGAATCCCCCTTAATTAACATACGTGAATATTAAATATTAAATCACTAATACCCCAAAATACCTCTCGAGGGGGAGGCTGAGGTGGTATAGCCCATCAGCAGATTTATAGTGCTATGTGTCAAGTTATAATGTCCCCTTTGTACACCTGCAAGAATATAATCGGATTTCATTAGCCACATGTGTGAATGATTGTGAAGCTTATATGAAACAGCCAATGCCAGTTAGCCAATACAAGTGTGACTTGAGTGCAGTTCAGGTCCAGTGTGTAACATTTAGAAGAATCTATTGGCTGGAATAGAATATAATACACATAACCATGTTTTTATTTGTGTATAATCACATGAAAATAAGAATACTTGCCTTAGAATGAGCCGTTTTTGTCTTCAGACGATGTGGGTCACCTTTGAAGGTCGCCATGTTGGACCTCCATGTTTCTACCGTAGCTCAGAACAGACACTGGCTCTAGAGAGGGCTGTGTGTGTGTTTATAACACATGTCTTAGCTGCTGTAGTTTCTGCATTGTGCTTGGAAGGGCAGGGAGTGAAGGGCAGGGAGTGAAGTGAGGGAGTTGCAATCAGCAACTTGCCCACTAAATGCCACTAAATGCTACGTAATGGTTGATTACATTGATTGAAAATGCTTGTTTTTGTCTGACCAACAGTCCAAAAGATATTAAAATGAAAAAGGTCTTAAACAGAGAAAAGCAGAAAATCCTCACTTAAGAAGCTAATTGGATTTTGGCTTGATAAATAATGATTTCAAAGTCCACTCTCAGTTGAGAAAACAATGTCACCACAAAGTCCTCTGAGGACAGAACAGCTACTTGTGTTGAGATTGTTTTCTTTGACCTGCGTCTGTGTCACTCAACAACACTCCTGGTCATGGTTGCTTAAACACTTGTGTGTCTTGTGCTCAGTGCTGGTTAGTGTGAGCTTTTAGCTGGATAAGCAGATTACTTAAGTATGTAGAGCCAAAGTGACAGACACGTGAGAAGACTCACAATGGAAACTGCCCTCCATGTTCATGGCGTGCACGTAACAGAACACACAGATGACTTTTGCCAGTGTAAAGCCAGAGGGCAAAAGTTTGAGTGGCGAAACATTACTGCCTTTTTCCCATTTTTTTCCTCCACTTTCAGCTTTTCAAAATAATTCATGTTTTCAAAACAAGTCATTGAGTTATTTAACACTGAATGCAGTCTGCCACAGTCTCCTCCTGAAGAATCGACTGTAATGAAATGTATGTAAATTCTGTCCCTGCATGGTAAATCATTCTGATCAATATATCTTCACGTTGGCAACAGCAACACGAACCCCTGATAGTACACACCTGCATCAAACAGCTGACTCTGCATATATAACAGCTATATAGGTTGGCTCGTAACGATAATAAGGAGAGAACGGACAAGAGCGATGATTGTAATATTCATAATGACAGCTGAGAGATGACTGAATAATTGATGAATTAGGAAATGAAAGATCCTGACATTATGTGAGAGGAAGGCTGGTCATAAAAAAGCTTTAGGCGTAGTTGCGGACGTCTTGATATGCATGCTTATTAAACTGACAAACAAGAAAGATGCGGGGACCAGTTTTCAATTTGTGAGGTAACAGATGGCTGACAGCTCCAACCAGTGAAACATGAGCACTGGTAGGTGCTGGACATGGAGGTAAAAAACCCTCAAAATAGTAGTAAAACTAAAATTAAAGACATATTTTATCAATTATTGGGCAGATATTCATACATATTTTCCTTTCACTGCTTAAAAAGAGAAGAAAGTTGACATTTCCTTTGCTTCTGTTTGACTCAGTTTAAACACTGAAATGTTTCTTTCATGTCCAACTTGATTTGCTGAACCGTTCAACATGTATGTTTTGTTTGAACGTGTGTTAATTGTGTTCTGCTTATACACTTTGCAAAAATGTTTTGTTTTGGCAAAATGACAAAGTACACTACAGATACCACTAACTTATAACGCATGAGTTTATATGTTGTTATTAATTAATCATTTATTTATCAAATAAGAACATTTGATCGTGGAAAATCCCTTTTGTGGTGTGTATCCTCTTCCAGCTAACATGCTGTGACTTTTTATGTTTCTCCATAATACACTGGGATGAGTTATAGGTAGTGAGAAACCCCCAACCATTAATTAATGCCTTACTAACATTTAGAACTAAAGAATAGCTCAGTGACAAAGTTAATTACAAAGGGTCATGAGTTTCCCTGTTTATAAAAGCCCTCAGGTCTGCTTTTATGTTGTAAGTAATGTGCTGGACCGTCCTTTGAAGAGGTCTGAATGTGTTGGTATTCATCTCTGTTACTTTTATTGCAAAAAATAGATTTTAAACGAGAACAATGCTATAAACGTATTTACTTCCATCCTGCAGGAAAAGCCAAGGGGATATTTTTGTTCTTCAGCCAACGCAAAAAGGGCTTCTTACTTAAATAACATCAATAAAACCAGATTGGTTATGTGTAGTGCAGTGATGATTCACCTTGCAAATGTGTAGTGTATATAATGGTTTAATAAGAGATGGGTAGGAGGAGCCATTACAAGCTGAATAATCAGAGTTAAGGGAGCACATATTTGTGAATTTGGTACCTGGAACAGCAGCCTGCATGTATCATGCTTCTAATAAAACTTTAGTTTATTATTCCAGTGGATACTGCTGAAACCCCAAAGAGCAGAACTGCTGCACATCCAACTTGTCATCTTTCACTTTTACATGCATGTTAAATGTTGAGAGGTTGTGTGATCAAAGCTCCTGTAATTGTGAGGCTTTCTTGACTCTGCAGAAATATGATATATAAATATATAAATATGAAAAAAGAGGCAAAGGCACTGAGAAGCCCAATGCTTCAGAGCAGTTCAGCTTTCTGCACTGCTCTCGGTGCAATGTCTCAGCCCATTTTGAGCTCCTCATTCTGTCTCAGAAGCATCTCCTCCAAGTGCTCATCGAGACAAAATCCAATTAGACAGAAGGACATAGGCGCCCAAATCTCTCTCCCCTATGTGCTCTTATTTTCCTCCTGTGCCCTTGGGCTTCGATTTATTGAATAATTAATTTCCTCAGTCACATTTGCACATACAGTACACACACACGCACTCACGCACCGACACATACACACACGTTCCCTACGTTTACCTCTAGTTATACGAGCTTCCCTCACTGTGTGACTTCCCATTTAGCGAATGAGTTCTGCTTCATTTATGGATCTCATTTATGCAGTGCCCCTTGGACGTTCATTTGCTTTAGCTTCACCAATATCACAAATGGTCATTGGTTCGCATTTCTTCTTGATTTTTACTTGACTTAATTTTAGGTTTGGTTGAAAAGAGGATTTATGTACCTCACAGGTCTCATAAGTTTATTCTTTATAAGTGGCTAAATTGAATGCCTCATAACATGGTTTCAAATGCAGTGATGTTGTAATGATCATGAAAAATGACACATGGGAGTCCCCGCTCGTGATTGTTTAGAAACACGTCTAATGTGTGGAGCTTTTAATTGGTGTTTGTGTTCAGAATTAATCTTCCAAAAAACCCAAGAGAGAAATCACATCAGCTCCTCTCTTTCCTTCACTGCTGTCTAAATATTTCCTTCTGTTGTCTCTCAGGGAGAACATGCCGTTCCACCATGTGACGGCAGGCCTGCTCTACAAGGGGAACTACCTGAGCCGCTCACTGTCAGACAGTGACAGCGACGTGCTGGCCAGCATCTCTGTGGAGGAGCTTGATGGTAAGGATTCTCAGTAAACTGTCTGGCTGCTGTCCTGCCTTATGTTTTAATGTGCATTTAAAGTGATTTGGCTGCTGCTGCCTGCCTTTCTACCCCCATAATCATTGGCCACATTTACATTGATTACAAATGAAGATCAGCAGATTGTATTTTAACATCTAACTATTATTATTATTATTTAAGATTTTCAAGGGGGTATTAATAAGAACTTTTGTATGGCACCTTTCAAACAAGAAATGTAGCTCAAAGTGCTTTATAGCAAAGATATTACATGCACCGAGTGCTTCCCATGAAAAAAGACATAAAATGGAATTGAATGCCGTAATTAATGGGAAATAAGATGGAAAATAAAACCCACTAGGTGACAAAGCTAAGGTCAACTCTACAGTGCAGAAAACAACAAAATAGACTAAAATAGTTGCACATGGAATATAGAGCTGCATAGAAATGATTAAAACCTCACTGCAGCTTTATGTTTAGTTACGCTTCATGCCAGCTTGAGGGGGAAGCAGAACCAAAATGAAGGAAAACAAAAAAGTTAAAAAGAACAAAGTTAAAGAACAACATTAGCTGCATTAGAAAAGCAAAAAAGATGTAGAGAATTCAGAAGATCTTTCACTGTCCAGTATGTAGTAAAAAATAAAGTGTAAACAAAGGTGATGAGCCAGAGGACAACAGGAGATCCACAGCCCGTCATGTGGTTTAAAGGCAGATCAGACGGTCACACAGTTGGAGCCACTGCGTAAAAAGGACTATTTTTGGCCAACAAGCCTGTACACACTGCGGAATCCCAAACACATATGGAGCTTTGTATTTCAGAAAACATTTGCAGTCACTTAATACGTCCACAAATGATGTATCGTATAGTATAGTACTGAACGGTAAATAGACTTAAAAGGCTTCAAAGGACAGGTGCTGATCGAAGTCGCTCCAGTCAGTTTTATAGTCAGTAATGCTTTGAATGACAATACAGTGCTTTAAAACCAGCAGCATCCTACTCATCTGAACCAACAAAGCACAGTAATGCATTATTCTCTATGCAGATTATCTCACCAGGAACATTCACATCTGCTGGCTTCTCTCTCTGGCTTTCACGTCCATGCTGCTGTTGAGGCTGTGCTGGTGGACCCATTGTTTTGGAGTCTGTCTGAGAGTAATCACCTGGGTCTGTAGAACACAAACCTGATCAATTACAGTCTGCCGGAGTCAGCAGTGGCAGCCTCACAGGCAGCAAACAAACTCTACTCCCCCAGACCTCCAAAATATTAATCCATTGATGCAACATTAAGCTGCCGCCTGGAAAATTGGCTGCACAGCACACGGTAATAGCCAGATACTCTGTCAGGGTCGAGTTTTAATATGCATGGAGATATTTGCAGCATATGAATTTCTCATTCCTGTTTTAACAGGTTCATGTTGTTTGGTGAATAAGAAACGGCTTGTGCTTAGAGGGTCTTCATGAGGTCAGCTACAGACTCTGAAACTGTAGCCTATCAACACTTTAGTTACTGTATCAGTATTTACCATACGCTGTATGTTGGTTGAGTAGTGGTATCACAGCAGCTAGAGGGTCACCAGCGTGGATGTTTAGATTCTCTCTTGTTAGTGGGAGAAGTTAGTGTTTCATGCCTTAACAGGTATTTAAGTGCTTGTCAGTAAGGCACATAAACCATGGACAATCTCACCCGTTTCTTAGTGTCATAAATTACTGGATGTGCACAGACATCACACATCTGAATCCTACAAAGCATGGCAATTGTTGCACCAAAACGGGAAACGTATGTATCTCAAACTAAATTACAATCAGTAATGTTTTTGACAGCGTAAGGCTCAAATTGCCCTTTCAACATGGTTATTGTATACCTGGAACACTGACGTCCGATATCCAATCATATTCAGATACTTATTTACTTATTACAAACACATATAGTAACATAAATCTGTAAATGTATGGACTAAAAACCAATCAAACACAGCCTTGCTAGCAGGTCCAGGGGATTATGGTCAGTAGTGTGACAGTGATGGCAGTTTTGTTCGAAGTACGTTTGCGACACTCTGAGACAATCTGGACATACAAGGTTTTCATCAGACACCATTAGAAACCGTCTTACCTGTCTTGTGTCTTTTTCAAGCGTCGTTAGCAACTCCCGTATGTCTCCCACTGACTCCTTTTCCCCGGCGCTGCTCACACAGCCTCCACATTCTGCACATTCAACACTTCTGCTTCACAATATTTAAAGAAGCAATTTACTGTATTTGTCCGGGGCCATTAAAATGCTTGCAGCAGCGGGCCGAGCTGTCACACGACTGGGGGTATGGAATCAGTCAGCTGGAGTGTTTTTGTAAATGTCTCATCTCTCAGGAGAAGCTGCTGTTGCCTGTAGGGATTTATAAAGGGAACAACTGCCCCTCAAGTCGTCCTTACCGTATAGATAATTCCTTAAGATGCGACAACAGCGTAATTCATCCAGAGGTAGCTGGTTGTATTTAGCATAATATTAATTTGCAGCAGACAGTTATTCTCCTGCAGTTGTAGAGCAAAGAAGGGCAACTTTGTAATGAGAGCCTCACTTGTAAAATTGTAAACCAGATATTGCTTTTTCTGAAGTCCTTGTCAAGGAAGCAAGATTGATTAATACTTGACGATTGAGTCGCTGAGGAAACAATTATTTACAAGACTAAAAAAGAAAAATGACTATTTCCTGACCTGTGTTTTCACTCCATGTGATGCCTGTAGATGTGAGTATGTCTCTACAGCCGCAAGGAGAGTTAAATGTGATATGTATGATCTTTAAACCAGCAGAGCATCTTTAAATGACACTTGTAGGGTTGGTACTTAATTCTTTGACAAGATGTTCCATTGATCGTAGACATTTCAGTCAATATGTGTGAACATAGATGCACTTCCTGCCAAGACTTGCAGACAGATCCAAGCCTCTGATCTGTGATCCAGTCAAAAGCCAAAACCAGGAGCTCAGCTGTCACTCAGCTGAAGACTGTCTTTGAAGATTTAGTTTGAGCACTTATGTGGTTCTTCCTCAACACTCAGCAACGACATCCCCCATTCCTTCTGAAAGTACTGAACCAAATTTATAACGAAGGCTCACATCTTCATCATCACATCTGTCATTTATTCATCTAGGTGTGTAACACACTTGATGCCGTGCATTACAGCCCTTTTGTAGACTTTTGTAGGCGTAGGAAAGAGAACAGTGCAGGAGAATAGCCTCTGGTCCATTCTTACGCTCTTGCAGGGAAAACTCTCCATCATATACCAGACTTGCTGGTGTTATACCCTGAAAGAACAAACTGAGCTGTTTGTACAACAACCTAATGTAATTCCACTTTTCCTGAGCAGGCACTCTACATTGTGTATATTGTGCTTTTTTTATGTTATTGCTGAGTCAGGTTGGTACTTTACACCAGGCCAAAAGTTGCGTGAGGCCATTGACCTTTAGTGACATTTTTGCATTTAGGGAAACTTTTTTTCCTTCATCCATTATCTATATCCGCTTATCCTTTGCAGGGAGCTGGAGGCGATCCCAGCTGACACTGGGTGAGGGGCGGGTTACATCTTGGTCAGGTCGCCAGTTCATCACAAAGCATTTTTTTTTTTGTTTTATGCAAATCAAATGTTAAACACATTTTCTATGACCTTAAGCCAGAGTTTTAATTAATTCAGCATTGGAAACAAAAGGACATGAATGCATTTTATAGGGAGTGTTATTGAGATCTAACTTTTTCACCAAATATGTTCATCTAGTGTAATTTCCAGAGGGTGCAGGGTATCCACATGTACATTTTACTGGGATAGTTCCAGTTAGAATGGTTAATACTGGGAAAGTGTAAGCTCCAGTCTGGCTCTAACAGCCGACTGCAGCAGTCAGCAAGATTTTCAACAGTCTAGTAGCATCTAGACTCTCCACCACATGTTGAGCTGAATCTGTATCAACAGTGGTAGTCCAGGGTGAATTTCAGGCAGACCTCACAATAAAGAAGTCCTGCAGACAGGCTTTACAGCAAAAACTAAAATAGGCTATTTTATTAAAGGTTTACTGAAAGGGCAGCGGAAGAAATCCTTTCTAGTCAGCGCTCAGACTCTTCTTTCACTAAGCATGCAGAGCTGAACCAGACGGCAGTAAGCCTGCAGGGAGGTTTGTGTCTGCTCAGCCCACCAGCACCGAGCTTTCCTTGAAGGAGAGAGGGAGAAGGAGCAGGAAGGCTGACGGGCACCAGCATTAGGCAGCTTGTTTCCAACTCCATTGGCATATAATCAGCAGTTCCCATTTGGCAGTTTTTTGTGCTCGGGCTGAGAGACTTGGCTACCTGCCGGACTGGTACTGGGAGTGAAGCTGCTGGTTGTGGAATTGGAGCCAGTTGTACTGTGTGTGCTGACTGCCTGCAGCACAGAGACAGAATCATGCTTGCAACAGACAGCTCGTCGTAGAGGGAGCTGTCCAGGGTGCTGACTGTTTCCACTCTCCTCAATCCCCCTGGGACACCATAACACCTGGAATCATTGATAACACTGGCGCCAGGAGCTAAAGATAGAACAAGATTGTTTTCTTATCTGACACCGTATTAACCTGAAATCCATCAGTCGTTCTGTGTGTGCATATACTAAAAAAAAAAAAATAAATAAAAAAAGAGACAGATAGAGATATGTCTTCAATAGTGTTTTATAATCCTATTTGTTCTAGTTCTAACAGCTTTATCCTGTATGAAGTAAAAAAGTAGAGGTAAAAATACAAGTTGGTTGATAAATTCTCTGTCAATTGACTAATCAATGAACTATTTTGAGAATCAATTGATTTTTCAAGCTAAATAATTTCTAATTCTAGCCTCTGCCAATGATAATGTTTTACTATTTTCAGAAATTTTATCTGCAAAACAATTGTACAGACATTGTAAAATAATTGTCAGATGAATCAATATTGAAAATCATTTTCAGCCCTAAATCCAGCCAATCTTTCCATTCTTGAATGTCGATGTGAAACACTGCACTGGTCGCTGGTCGGTTTCAAAGCCAGGACCTTGCATTGACATGGTTTTGTTGAAGAATTTTTAATATAACCTTCTTTCACATGAAAAAAGTCTTTAAAAAGAACTGCTTCAAATACCTTTTATTTGAGAACAAGCCCTCTTACACAATGCCAAAGTCACGTTGTACACACTGGCTACTGCAATCGATGATCTTATTCGCCAATAGGTCAAAAGTCAAATATCGGCTGATACCAATGTTTGCACAATAAATCAGTGCATTCCTAAAAAAGATGACAGTGAACACGATGTAAGGTACATAGTAAAAGAACAATATAAAGAATGTAAACCCCTGTCTTAAAGAATATGAGGGTATTGAGTGCTGCACAGCTATGATGTGATCATGTTTTCTTTGTTCCTTGCAGTTATGTTCGTTGTGTTACTAAAGTCAAAGTTCTGGTGACAGTGCTAGCTCTTATGTCTAGCAGAATATGATAGTGAGCAGATTATATAATGCAAGTAAACAGGCATCAGTAATTCAAGCATACACACTCACAATAAACACATACCCTCATAAACATTTTAATGCTGCAGACATCATTTGCATCGGAAATGAGCAAACTCTACCACCTTAGGATTCTCTTCCATCAAAGTTGGATTACTTTTGTTACTTCTGTCCTTTTTGGTAGAAATATTTGTGTGCCAAATGTCAGATTTTGCGTTGAAAAGCAGCTCAATGTGCCATGAGTCTTGATGGATAAGAGCATTTGTGCATGCAATAGACTGAGTCATTTGAATTTATAAACCTAGCCTCTGTATTGTTATTCTGTTCCAACACGCTCCAGACACAGGAAAGTACTCAACAAAGGCCTGAGTCACTGATAAGTTTATTCATGAGATGCCCATCTTAATGCAGGGAAAATAATCTGTATGCCTTTCATGTGTGTTTGTCAGCATCCGAGACTTTGTGTTGTTACAAATGATGGTGCTGTATTTGCTGAGGACCAGCTGTTTGGGGAAGCAGTAACATGCTGTTTGGATGCAGGTCGTAGACTGTGACCTCCTTATTGTCTACTGTAGGTACGCAACAGAGTAAAAACACTGTTCTCAGTTTTATGAAACAATTCATAATTTATGCTTCATTTATGGTTTGTTGTTCCAAATCGTTTGCGGGCAGACTGGTTCAGAATGGCAGCAGCGCAGCAGATAATAAAATGATTGATGGGCTAATTTCTTAATGACTGGTTTTTGGTTCATTTTGGAAATTTCTTGGTTCAGGCAGTTAGAAAATGCTGTTAGTGTTCTCTGAAAAACACTGAATTGAACCGTTCAGTAGAAATACATTTTGGACTCAGTTAAGATGGATTTTTCTGAAATTCTGTTCTATTGTCCTGTCTCGTCTTATGCTGCACTGTTTGTATGTATTTATGAGAACCAATGGCAACTGATTGTGTTGCTTTTAACTATTAAACTTAAAATTTTGGATATGATAAAACTGAATTTGTTGTTTTTTGTTGTTGTTGGATCCAATTCTTGCACAGAGATGCAGTCTATGTCCTCTATATGTCTCATGAAAGACTAAAACTCTGCCACGGGGAGGATGGAGTTAAACCATCTTTTCCACTTTATTCAGTGCTCAACAGTGTGCTCATGCATGTCATGCAGTCATAGTGTTCTTCAGAGAAGTGACATTCCACCTCTATTTAAAAACACCAGATGCCTGTCAGTCTCTCTCTCTTTTCTTGCCATACACCCTCTCCTGTCTGTAGGCACTCTTATGAAATATGCATTTATTAAAGCACATTGAAGCCTGCTCACTCCTTCCACTGACGACTTGATCACACGTTGAGCAGCCAGCGAACCAGCTGCTGACTCAACTGTGTACAAGTGAGGCATTTTTGTCTCTGCTATGAGTGAGTCAGCTCAGTAAAATGTAGCTTCAGCAGCACAACATGTATGTGCTGCGGCTATAACAACAAAGCCAAGACATCAATGGAGATGGCTGCTAACATGCTGAGTTTGAGAATCCATTTGAAACAGTGGTTGAAAAATATTGAAGATGCTGCAATCAGAGGGAAATAACCTGGCTTATTTGATCTTAAAATGCATTTCCATGGGTGGTGGACAAAATAAAACACCTGACATTACAGTACTGTAAAGTTTTTTGCTGAGACTGAACTGAACTTTAAATAAAGGGGTATAGTGTTAAAGGGGCCCTGTGGACAACAAAAGCTATGTTTCACTGCACTAACATGCATTGTGTGTATCCGCGAGGTCTAACAAATGTGTCAAGTATTTTCAACCCTGCATTGTTTACATCATGTTTACTAACCGTACATGCACCCGCTATAAGTGCGCTGCTCATTGAACATGCTCACGTCTTTGGTGAAAAGTGAACTGAACGTAACTGTTCATAACTAATGAACGAGGATGTGAGCGTCGTTAACTCCTGTGAAAGATAGCAACGCTCGCGCCCTGTTGAGTTAAAACTCAATTAAAACTAAAGGAGTACACAAGGAAAAGATTGCAGGCGGAACTTTTTCTGTCTTTTCATTTTCTTGCAAAGCTACTACATCTGCACACCACTAAAGAGATTAAGTTAATGATGATCACAAGAAATCATTAAGAGAGGGTAATACCACGGGCTAACAGCTCCTCCATCCAAGTCAAACTCACAGCATTTTGTAAAGCAGCTCATTTATTAAAACAAGAAAAGAAATGAAAGAAAGAAATGAATGTGGACTAGTTCATTTTAATGTGCATGAGATGAATTATGAGCTAGCTCTTGTTTAGTGTGAACTTGAACAAAAGTGTTTTAGCTTGCAGCATATCTTGGCCTGTAACATTACCTGTTGATCACTGCAAGAGTGTCTCCTCATTGGTTGGAATGTGTATCACGTCATGCATAAAATAAACAAAATGGGGACCCACTTATAGAAAAATAGTTCCTTAGTGCTACTTTATGTGTCCATTGTTCCTTGGACACCATTATTTGTTGGTGTCATAAGTTGAGATATTCTTCTTGCCACATGATGACTTAGCTTGCCTGAAAACTCACTTACAGCTTTTGGGTATTGATATCTAAATTAATTAGTGCTTCCGCCTCTTGTGAAAGAGATGCATTGTATATCCTCTATATGTCTCATGAAAGACTCAATCTCTGCCACGGGGAGGATGGAGTTAAATCATCTATTCCACTTTCTAGTTTCAAATTATTCAGTGCTCAACAGTGTGCTCATGCATGTCATGCAGTCACAGTGTTCTTCAGAGAAGTGACGTTCCACCTCTATTTATAAACAGAAGATGCCTATCGGTCTCTCTCTCTTTTCTTGCCATTACCTGTTGATCACTGGAAAGGTGTCCCCTCATTGGTAGGAATGTGTATCACGACACCCATGTTCACATGAGTGCATGTGCGTCACCATGCATAACATAAACAAAATGGGGACCCACACATAGAAAAATGGTTCCATAGTGCTACTTTATGTGTCCATTGTTCCTTGGACACCATTATTTTTTGGTGTCATGATTTGAGATATTCTTCTTGCCAAATGATGACTTAGCTTGCCTTTCATGCAGTTGCAGTATTTCTCAAGTGTATTGGTCAATAGAAAAGTGAAAATATGGAAAACCACAGAGGTGTATTTTTATTTATTTATTTTTTGCTCCACACTGCAGGAAAATTCCTTTGTCTCATCAAAGGAATTTAATCAATTAAAGTTATAAGTGCAACGGTCACAAGATAAATCTTAGGGGTCACAAGATGATTAACAGGAAAAGAAAGATGGGTTCATGTCTCAAAAGGGTGTGTCTGACTTTTGTCCAATCCTCCTTATTTTATGTCTCTCTGAGGCAAATTTATGACCCTGGGATCTATAAATAACATTGGTCTGACTTGTTTTTTAAGGGATATAGCAGATGTTATGACCTCTCTGGGCTTTTTACAACAATAATAATAATAATTATAGATATGATAATAATGTAGTGAAAGCACAAGGTACAGTGGGATTTGCTACTGTACCTTGTAGATAAAACAAATCTGTTTTGCAAGATAAATTATCCCACACTAGTAAGGCACCTCCACCAGAACCTATGGTGATGAATTAAACATTCATTTTTCTCAGTGATGACTAAACCATTTTTACAGGCGAAATGCAACACCAATAAGAACTGAGAAGATTTCTTGACACCGGTTAATGGTACAGAGCAGGAGAGAGAGCAGTGTCAGTGGGAGTGATATTCTACCTTTGAAGGGAAAGTCCATTATCCTGAAGGTCACAGGTTTCGCCCTGGCAATGCAAGCCAACCCCACCCCCCTAAACTTGCTAACACTGTGAATGTCGCTTTGGATGATGAATTAATTGAATATACAGTAAAATGTGAAGGAGGAAGCAAAAGACAGAGAACATAAAGGAACGCAGTGAAAGGTTACAAAAATGAGGAGAGAGCTGCTGTGACAGCAGGTGGAGAAAATGAATCGATGGGTGGAATTGATCTTGTTAACTTGAGGCAGTGGTGCGAGACCAATTGCATAACGCGCGGCCCAGAGCTGGGTCAGACAGGAACAGGGAGAGATAGGGAGGGAGCTAGAGAGAGGTGTGCGAATGATGATGAACGAGGGGGAAGGGTGAAATGCCAGCTGACTTCATTAAATGCAAGATGAATTCAAAGTCGTGAGAAGTGTATCGCTGCCAAAAGAAAGGAATCCCAAAAATACAGAGGACAGCGTGGAGAAATAATAATAAGGATATCAGGCAGACTAACACAATGAACATGAATATGTGTTTATGTTTGTGGGAGCAGGAGGAGGGCTGGGCATTGTTTATAGATGCTGAGTCGATTTCCTGTTTATCTTGGCAGAGATCCGGGAGGCGTTTAAGGTGCTGGATCGTGACGGAAATGGGTTCATTTCCAAACAGGAGCTGGGTATGGCCATGCGCTCTCTGGGTTACATGCCCAGCGAGGTGGAGCTGGCCATCATCATGCAGAGACTAGACATGGATGGTGAGTCACACACGCACACAGGTGTAAAAATGTACTGTACTATGCAGATCCCCTTATGTGTTACATACATAAAAAACACATTTCCCCCATCATAAAAATGTAAATACTGTGAGGTGTACAGTCTCTTCAACAGGAAAATTTGCAGAGATCTACAGTAAACGACAGCGTTTTTCTATGTATTCTTGCCTGTTCAGATGCACGGTTTACATATTCCTCTGTGTCATGCATAAAACATTTATTCATGCATGCCTGAGTGTGTACTCATTTCAATCTCAACCACTTGCCGCTTCGAGTTGACACATGAAAGTACCAACGTGAAATTGACGCCGGGAGAGAACAACCTAAATGAAGAAATATGTGACATTAATGAAATGTATGCACACATGACACGTTGATAAGTTATTGCATATCAAAGTGAGTTTTGATGTCGGTTGTCTAACTAGAACTAAAATAAACTCTTATCAATGCACTCGCTGCAACAGCCGAATCCGCTGGGAAATGCTTCACGAAACTGTGGCGTAACGATACATCTAGAGTGCTTAGGATTCCTGCTGTCAAAACAATAAGATCTGAATCAGCTGAGGTTTATTTCTGCAGCACCATCCTCACCTGTGACCCTTTAACCTTTTTGTCCTCGGAGAGAACACACTCAGCAGCAAGAAAACACAAACACAAGCAATCCCTCTGCTTGCACACGGCATTTTGCAGAGCCGAGTTTCAGGCAAAGCTGTCTGCAATAACCGTGATTGACATTCTATAAAGAATAGACTCTTAAAATTGTAAAAGGCGTGGATGGAAAAATGCAATATGCAAATGTCAGATCGCTGGGAAAATATTCAAATTCTTCATGCTGCTATCACACCCTTTGATAAGTGCTTTTCAGTTTCACAGTGGAGAGAGAAATACTGTAAATGTTCAAGACTGAATATTAAAGTTTAAGAAGTTAGGCTGCCTTTATTCCTCTTCTGACTCATCCACTTCAGAATCTCAGGAGACCGAAGCTGCTTTCGCCTCTCAGGGCCCGGTCTTGTTGCATCGTCTGCTGCGACTTGAAGATGCAGGCTACTTTCAGAGCTGACGAAGGTCACAGCAGCTTTTGTCTCAGGAAGTCTGAAGTGTAATGCTTATTTATTTATTCACTTGGTTCTCATTGTTCTTTCTGCCTCTGTGTATTGAATGTAAGTTTGTTGGAGTTTTTGTTTGGAAAGCCTCTTTCCCATTTATTGACGCAGGTCAACTTGTTTGTATTGAATGATGTTAGCAAAATACAGTTATTTTCTTCTTTATTGAGGCATTATTGAATCTGAGAATCGACTGGCTGCCTAGCAGGGGCTCTGTCTTTGTGTTTGTTAATTAACTTCTATTGTGACAGCTCACTCAGATATGATCCAGCAGCTTAAGACAAACGAACGCAGAGAAAGGCGCTGACGTCATGTTTAGAGTGGCTTTCAGGTGCAAAAGTCGTTTGATTTACAAGCTAGGGAATGGGAAAGTGTGTCAGAACTAACATGGTGTGTGTCAGTAAACTGTTGCCAGTAGAAGGCAAAGAGAGTTCTTCTATTCGCTTTCACACATATCATGCTGTATCAGCTGTAACCCTGTTATTAAATCCTTGTCTGTTGAATAGCCTGAAAGATGCTATAATGAGTACAAATTCTAACATAAAAGCTTTACTGACAGTTTACTATATAATCAATAAGATAGCACAAACTATTACAGTAATTCTAAAGTAACAAAATTATGCAAAAGACCCTTTTCTGTATTTGCTCACACTACTAATGGAATAAATAATTACTCCATTTAATCAAGAAGTGCATTGTAAGATTAATGTAAATATTTATTAGCCCCAATTCATTCATTCATTATCTCTCCATTTATATCCACATGGAAACTGGGGACTTGAACCAGTTCTGGCACACACCGATTAGAGAGAGACCGTTAGAGAACAATGTGAACAGGTCTTCGCAATATAGTGTTAAAGTGACAAATATGAGGTGCGAAAGAATCCGGCCTGTTGTTGTTTCTTTTGCTAATCTACGGAGCAGTTTGTGAAAGTATCTTCTCATATGTGTGTTGACACAATGACAAAGAGCCAGTGATCAAACAGACACGGCGCGGGCGAAGAGGAGGGGCATTAGCAGATGAATGAGAATGGATGATTGTGATTGTATCTCATCCAAGTGGGCAGCTGTGAGGATTGGAGCCTCGGTCACAGCCATCGATTCTGAGCCCAGCGGCCAAGTCCAGCTGATATCTAGAAAATACTGATAGTTTATCTGCTCTGCTCATCTCTGCTGTCAATCCAATCCATGTGATTGTTATTGAGCTCTGCATGCCCTTCATGGAGAGGTGTGACTACTCTTCTTTTGTTCCATATCACAGCATTGCACCAGCCTTTGTTTTTCAGTATAGATCATGCATGTCCTTCTTTTTGACCTTAATATGAAGTCTCTCTAACTTTGACTCTAATCTATAAGTTTGGATCTGTGTAGACATGTATTAACTTAATACCAACAGCAACCACTATTTTGTTTTTATTCCCCATTGACTTTTTTGTCTTTCACTAAAAGAAGCTATACTTTAATAATTCATTGTTTGGTTTCGAGCAGGATGCAGGATTCTTGGTTGTGACATAGCACAGGAAGAAACTAGTCAAAAGCAGGTGGCTTGGACTATGACGGAGACAGAAAGTGACTCAGTGGTCACAAACTGCATTACAGTACACACACTAAAAATCAATGGGTTAATTTACCCAACATGGTTGAGTATAGCACAGGTGCAATAATGAGTTAACTCTAATAACCCAGTACTAATGGGTGGGAAAGCACCCAACACAAGGGTTGTTAGGATCCAGTAAACTGAAAGATTCTTATATAAAAATATAAATTAAAATGCTGGGGAGGTCGTTGCCACTTCCAGCAAATGTAGGGAGCTTGCTTCATATCACCTAGGTCAGAAAAATATGGTATGACTGCCACGAACAGGTATTTTAATCATTGATTGATTCATTTATTTCCGCTACCCATTTATTTCCACTCAGGACTGCCAGGGGGCTGGAGCCTCTGTCAGCACACTGCACATTGCGTGGAGGGCATGTTACAGCATGTCAGATGGAGAATTATGAAACGATACGAGTCACATTTTATTTCATTGTGATTTCAAAATGGTAGACTGGCTGAGGGCTAAAATTATGATTTTATTAATTATATGACCAACCTTCACATCCAGCAGACACAGAGCAACATGAAGTTCAATATTTAATATGATTTGTCTTCAGAAATCCATCTGTACCTTTTAAGCTGCTTCATCTTACACTTTCTTTACCAGCTAGTCTAACTTTCTCTGTCTGCTGTTAGGCAGGTAGTATACAGTTGTTTTAAAACTACAAGCTTGTGTTTTTGCAGCTTGGTCACAGAACAGATTACTGTTCATCCTGTTTTACCTTGAACCCTTTCACCCAGACTACCTTTATCTCTACTATCAATCCATCCTCCTATCCTTAAATCCTCAGATCTCAGCACTGCTTCATCGGGCCCGTAGCTCTGCACTGTCCCTGCTGAAATACGTGAATAGAAGTGCAGTCAATGGCATCAAACATTACAATGCCAGCATGCACCGGAGTGGCCGCCACAGTCAGAGCAAGAGCAGGGGGACTGTCGGTAGGGGCAGATTGAGTCGTCCTGCATCGGTAACTTTCCACTGACAAGGTCCCAGCCTCATCTGCAGATACAGGAGGAGCAGATGGGAAGATGAGAGAAGTAAAATGAGAGTTTATAACAGGGACATGAAAAACACAAGACAACAAAAATAAACGTAGATTCTCTCACTCTTTGAATACACTTATATTGAAGTGAATACGTCTTCTATCCACCCCTTTCTTTTTCAAACTTAAAGATCTGAATTCTACACCCATCTCATTTTTCACAATTGCCTTAGCATATAATGTACAATATTTGGTTCATCTACACATGCAGATAATAAAACCAGACAAACACTGCAGGGAGAAAAAGAAAAATGTTAAAGCATATTCAACCACATCAATATGAATCCATGACCTGTTCATTTGAATGCTTTGCTTTCTGCAGAGTTTTGATGATTTATTTTGGCAGTAGCTTCAACAACTGTCAGCAGGATCCAAGATCAGTGCTGTTGGACTCATTGTGCGCAGCAGGAACTCCTTGTTGTGAGTGATAACAGTTGCTGTAAACTTTGATGTGCTCCATACCCAGTATTATAGAGCTAGTCAGAGCTCATTGTTTTTAACCACCTCTTGTCTCAGTAGTCTGTATACAGACACAAACAGCACTCATATTTCCTTTTAAGACTAAGCATAGGGTGTAATAACTTGTCTACAAACATATTGTAGGAAAAAACCTGCAGAATCTTTTGCAACACCAAAGGCTTCCATCAGATCACCTATTTAATCCCGGAAAGATTCATTGCTATTTCCCCAGCACCGAGCTTTACTTTTAAGCAGTTACACACATTAAGCTGCAGGCTGTTAGCTGCTGAGTGCTCTGCTCAGGGGCACATCAGCCTTAGTTGTTCAGGACAGGAACATCATTTGTCATTCACTCTGCCTCAGCTCTCACTCCAAACCAGTGAACCAGTAATATTCCTGTGCATGCTGTCTGGGTCATTTCCACTATTGGAATATAAAGTTGAAACTAATCCGCAAGATAAGAGAGCTGATCTAACACTCATATCCAAGAACAGAAACAAGTAATGTTTCTTTACAGTTGCAGCCTGCACAGCAGTTCACAGAAGAACCATTTATAAGAAGATCGGATAATCAGATGGTGTTGAGTTGGGATGAGTTTTATTTGGTTTTATATCACCGTTGGGGATGTTTGGGTTGGGTTTGGTTACAGTTAAAGTGTTATATACAACCAGCAAACTTGACAAAAGTTGCAAACAATGTAAGTCTATAATCTGTGCATTGTCATCTATCACTAATTGGCCCTTTTTTTTTATCTGTCAGGTGATGGACAGGTTGATTTCAACGAGTTCATGACCATCCTTGGACCCAAGCTCCTGTCGTCTGAAGTGAGAGAAGGCTTCCTGGGCAGCACAATAGATACCATCTTCTGGCAGGTAAAGCTTTGTTCTCTCAAACGCATCTGTTCTGTTAACTTTGCTGGGTCATGATGAGTCATAAATAGAAGTAGACATGAAAAAACGGATGCTGTATGTCTCAGCTGAAAGATAATCACTGCAAAGTAGAGCGAGAAAAAGAAAAATGATCATTATTTTCATTCTTCAGAGTTTTTTTTCCCTCGGCCCAAAATACTGGAAATCTTTTGTCAAATGAAAATTTGTTATATGCAGGTGGGGCTCAAAGAAGTAGTGCTTGGTCTGCTGTGGTCAGGGGCTCACTTAAAGCAAACGTAGGTGTAATTGCATCAGATCTGAAAACCGTAGGAACTAAACGCACACCAGAAATAGAATACATGATTGGTTAAATGTCATTTAGATGTTAGAATTGAGTAGTGCGCCATTATGTATGGTACACATTAAGGTGACCTGGAAAGCGTTTTAATCTGCTCTCGGCTTAATTATGGGCATTTTCTGTATTTAAACCTTTTATAGACATCTGTCAGCTCTGGCTTGCTAACATGATACAGTACATATTCCAGTGAGAAACAGCAGCTCGTAGCAGTGATAATGCTAACACAGATTACACAAACGATCTGAGTGTTTCCCAAACCATCAACAAACTCCTAAAACCCGCCTAATCCATCTAACATTCGCATAAAAATAAAAAAAGAAATTCCTGCACTCATTCTGTTTATTGACATTAACTTTATGAACAGGACTTCACTTGGGACCCCCTTCTATAGAAAATAACAAAACACAAATAGTTAACTAATTGAAATACATTTGAATTAAAATTCTTCATGCTCTTAATAAATTTGCACGTCGTTGATAAGCTATGGTCTACAATCAACTCAGGGTTTAGAGCAGGTCTCAGGAACCTTTACTATCAAAAGAGACATTTTTGGCAAACAAAAAAAAGTCACAAAATATATTTGAGCCTAATTTCTTTCCGCAGATGAAGCATTCTGTAATGCCAGAAGCGTTGGTGGTGAAAGCAAACAAATCTGTCGGCGCACTGCTAGATTCTTTATTTTCCTTCGAGACTGGATTTGGAATCCATAGCTAGCTTCGCTAGGCAGACTCAAAACTAGCAGGCGCCGGGTCAGTACGTAACATATGATGCACATTTTAGTCGAGTGTTAAAACAATTTTTTATTCAATATAAGTAAAAATAAGTCACACATTGTCAAACACAGTGTGTGCCATCTCTGTCTGCTCAAACTATGATAAATAGAAATTTGTCAAAGGCTGCCCCGGAGCTGCAGGTTGCCTACCGCTGGTTTAGAGGATGTTCTGTTGCTGAAAAAGAATATCTGTGCTCTGAAGAAAATTATCCTGGGTACAGACTCAAGTATTTGGTGACAGGCCCAGAGAGTATTCTCTACCTCTCTGTACTAATGCAGTCTATAAATCACATTAAAGGAAGTACTACTTTATTTATCTCCGTTTCCATTTCTTGCGCTCTTTTGAAGGGCAGTGCCAAAAAAAAAAAAATGCATTAATATACAGCATCTGACGTCCTCTGAGTGATATTGTGACTGATGATGGTAATATGTGACCCTGACAGATGTGCCTTTGGACAGCCTAAAGTGACAAAGGAACCGGTGGCGTAAGAAACCAAACAAGAGAGAAAATGTCAGTCCGGGAATGAAAAAATCTGACTTTGAGTGAGTGAGACGGAGAGTGATGAATGTGCAGACAATAGAAAGAATGAGAGAGCATGCATGGGAATGATGACAAATTGAGCAGGTGTGAGGGAAAGAACGGGACATTTGGCAATGATAGTAACACTTGGCAAGCCTGTCCTCTTGATGTAATCATCGGCTTGACCCGGGCTTTTTCTCTGGGGCAGGAGCTTGTGGTTTACACCGTGAGGACACAAGTCTTTTGGAGGTATGAGTGCAGGCAGGGCGAATGTGCTGCCAGCCCCATTTGGCTGTTGCAATAACCTTGGCTTATGCAGGAGCACGGTTGGCCTGAAAAGGGTTTTTTTTTACCCCTCCAAGAAAGGCTGGTGGTTGCGGGTTGAGGTTAGTTACTTCTACACTTACAAAGCCACATTTCTTGTCTGATGAATTTAAGCCTAAAGGCAGGACTTGGCATCAAACACCTCATCTGACGTGTGGAGCATATTCAGAGTAAGAAGTAAGACCCAAACCTTGATTTATCATGATTATTTCCTCACATGCCTCACAGCTGATTAGTTGCTTGACGTATTACAGTTTTGTGCTTAGTTTAGTTTGTTAATGACCTGTGGTGTATGACTCAGCCTCTTACCTGTTCATTTTGTGTTCTGTCATCCTGCTTGAATATCTTGTGAAGTAAACATTTTTAACTGTTTCTAAGCTTAAAAATGGTGAATTAGATACAGCATTTTGGCTTTACATCCTGGTAGCAGGGTACCATACAGTTGTGTCATGTCCTCTTTTATAAAACTTTTGTGTGACAATAGAAAAATGGAAATGATCTTAGCAATGCAAGTATACATGAAGAAAAATAACACTATCTACTCAAAAGCCCACCCAACAGTTCAGCAAACACTGAATAAACCATCAACCAGCACAACTCATGCTGCTGGCACATTATGTCCTGCTCATCAAAATTCATAAACTACACTGGGCTCCCATTCAATAAATCTTGCATGATTATAAAAATTACTTTTCCTTTTTGTCAACTAATAGGATATAAGACAATAGGCACAATATGTAACATAAAATACATTGTTGCAGAATTAATTTCCTTAAGGCTTCAAAAAATCTTAAAGCTACATTTAACAATTTCGACTGTTAAAGATGATCAGTTCTGCATGTTTTGAGTTTTTTTTAGCCCCTTTTAGCTTGTTGTTTTGGTTATATGGCACATTTACAGTATGGTTCGCTCTTGCAGCTTTTATAGAAAGTAAAACAACACAACGAGAGCTAACAGAGAGTGGACATCAGACTCTTACAGTAATCATCAGTTGGACAGAAGACAAATGAATGATAATATTGCTCTATGTTTGCTGGATATGCAAATAGGTAATTGTTTGCCATCATCAACGTCATAACAACCAGGTAATAATATGTAAGGTGGTGGGTTTATCAGCTTGTTTGTGAGTTTTTATGTTCCCTGAGTGATTAATGCAGCTTAAAGTTGTGATAACAGTGAAAAGATACTGGCACAGCCAAGAGATAAACAATTAGCATTCTTTGGACAGGGAATCAAATCCCCATTGAAATAAAAAGTAATAACAAAACACATTTTTAAAGCTACACAAAGTAGATACAATACTTAAATGTGATGAAACAAGAGTGGAGGACTTGCAGAATGACTGTAATCATAATTGTAGAATTACTACATCATCATCAAGTAAAAGTCCAATAAAATGTAAAGCATCATTTAAAACCTTTAAGTAATTTTCATGAAGATTGTCATGAATCATCAGGCTTTAACTGTATTATACTGACCTAACAGGAAAATAAGTGGTGTTTGGGGTGTGTGTAAAGTATGTGTGAAGAAAATAGTTGTTAACTTGGGAGAAACCCTGTGGGACTCCATAGTTTGTAGAGGATTTACAGTAGAACTCTTTGTCTGTTGTATACAACGAACCACTTCATGTGTCCAGTCTCTATATTTTTTAGAGCTTAATTTTTATGTTAATCTTTGCAAAATAAATAAAAAATCACTGTATGTAAAGCAGGTTCTGATTTTGTATTTTTACCAAAACCTCTACAATAATACTGAAATGGTTTGCACACATTTTGATAAAGGAAGAGTCTGTATCAGCTTAACAATCCTCTTTATATCATTCTTGAGCTTTACTAGAGTACATTCATTGAGCACATCTAATTTTAATGATGTGCCTTTGAAGAATAAGAACCCAATAAACTCATCTTGAAGAATGACTCAGTCGGCCACAGTCCGTTTTAGAATTATTAGAAGATTAAAAGCAAACAGTAATCGTTGTTTTTCTTCAGTTTCAGAACTGCAGTAGCCTTTACAATCATCAGAGAAAGCCGAGCAGACACTACGGAGTAAGAACTAAGTGTTTGAAGCTGTTTAATAAATCCACAAACCTCTGTAGCTTTATGACTGATCAGCCCTCTTTTACAGCAAAATCTGAGTCAGATTGAATACCCAACCTGTTCCATAAAACATGAATCATGACAAGCACACAACAACGACGCAACACTGAAAGCATTTAGCTGGAGGGGTTTCGTGTAACCCTTATTAAAACCCAGAGTTATCAAAGCATTTGACAGTGTTTCACAGATTACATTTTCCTCCATCTGGTATTTTGTAGGATTTTACGATTAAGTATGTATTTTCCCCCAGCTGAGGTTGTCTCCATCAGAGCAGAGCAGGATTCACTCAGCAGGAATCGGTGTGATACACGCAGATCCTGGCTAACTCGTATAAACATTGTATTATGTTCTGGTTCGGTCTTCCTGAACCATGAGAGTGTAGTTCAGTTCCTGTCTTAGCTGAGAGATTTTCTCATTCCACTAATGTCAGGCAAAGTGTCACATCCTCACCAGCTGGAGTGATGGGATAATGATTCACTTGCTGTCACACACTCACCTTCCTACTCACTCGTATCTGCTCTTGAACAGTTTGTTAATGTATCTAATTATCCCGTCTGGAAAATTATGAGCTTATAATTGAACAACTGCAAACATTTTATTTTCCTATGTTAATCATCAACTCCATGATTTGCAAAAAGAGGGCTCCATAAATAATAAATATACCATTGGACTTTCTTGAAGACATATGTCATTTTTTGTTATATTTCCTCTCTAGAATAATCATCATTTTCCTTATAATTACATGAGGTTTCATTTCTTTCCAAAGCATTTGCTTTTGAGGATTACATTTTCTCAGGGTGGATTGACATTACTTTGGTTTCCCTCGTCTGAGGACTTTCTTCCTGTATGTGATAAATATTGAAGGAGTGTTGAGTACACATTTTAGGAGATCAAGTCTCCTCTGTGCTTTTAATTACAGGTCAGTGCCCCTCA